GAGAGAGAGAGAGAGAGAGAGAGAGAGAGAGAGAGAGAGAGAGAGAGATGGAGGAGGGAGAGAAGAGGAATCCCTCCTCGCTATCTCACCTGCCGGTAGCTGTCACTCGAACTGACTTCGTCCGTTGCCGTGTGCAGGTACCGCGTGGAGCCCGGCTATGGCGCCAGGTAAGCTCGCCGACTGCATCGATGGCCTCCGCCCTCTCCTATCTCCACTAATCACTACTCCCTACTCCTCTACCTAGCGCAGCATAGCGCAGCCTCCAACCAGCAGCGTGTCGCTCAGAAATGGGCGACTTCAACTGTTCTTGCCCAGCTGCGGCCCGGCTATATGTAGTGCTGGGCCGCTGGGCCTACCTGGTACTGTGTGGCCTAAAACGGCCCAGGTGGTTTGGGTCCCTACCGGACGTTCAGACCTAGCTGCTGCTGCAGCGTGGCACAAAAATGCACGTGGCCTAAAAACGGCCATCTACCGGTGCACCTGGCCCAAGGTGCTGTCTTGGGTCCTGCAGGACCGAAACGACGTCGGGTTGGCGCCAAAATGCGCCTGGCCTCGTTTCGGGCCTGCCTCCGTTGTACCTGGTCCCAAGGCCCGGCCTTGGGGCTACAAGTCCACAACGGCACCTGAATAGACATAAATAAGACAGCACACACACAGAAAAAGGGGTAAGTAAACAAAACCCTACCTACCTACGTGCTGCCTAGGCCTGGAGGGCCACCGTGGGCCTTCAGGGCGCGTGCTGGATAGTACGCGGCCTGGGGGCCCTTCAGCAGCCGTCGGGCCCTTCAAATGGGGCCCATGTGCAGGCTCGCATGCAACACCCCCCCCTCCTTATGAAGTCAAGCCCTTTGGGGGCGAAGCTGCCGATCTGAAGGCGGTACTTGGATGCAGGTACGGCGTGGAGCCGAAGATGCCGTCTTGCCTTTCAGCTTCTGTTCATAGTGTGCGAGAGCATCGGGCGCTGTTGCCTGAAGTTCCGCACGAGTCAGCCATCGGTCAACTCTATGGGTGCAATATGCAAAGTGGACCAAAAATTCAGTCGGCCTGATGCCGTAACGTCGCTGGGAAATGATGTCACCAACCTCTTGGAAACCATCCATCGAGGGTGGGTCTTGCCATCGTCGCCCGGGGAAGCCGTCAAGTTCCGCTGGCGTGTAGAGGGCCAACTTGGAACAGTGAAAGACCGGGTTGATGGGCAAGTGGGCGGGCACCTGAATGATGAACGAAGGTCCTTCGGGTGCGTCCCCAACGGGTGCCACGATCGGCTAGGGCCCCATCCATTTCGGAAGGATCTTGCGAGAGATATCTTGTTCGAGGCTGAATTCCGCAGCGGAAACCCATACGAGGTCGCCGGCGTGGAATGGACAAGGAAGACGCTGGCGGTTGGCCTGTTGACGCATACGTTGTTGAGTCTTTGCCATCTGGTCACGTGCCTTGACAAGAAGCTCTTGCATCTGACGAATGAAGAAGAGGTGGTCGTCGCTCTTGGCCGTCCGCGGGAGGATTGTGTCCAACGGAGAATTGACCATCGAGCCATGCTCGAACTCAAAGGGCGATATCCCGATAGCCGGATGGATGGACGAGTTGTATGCCAACTCGACATCCGGCAGCCGCTCAACCTAATCTTTCTGGTCGGGACGGATGAGAGTTCGAAGGAGGACCTGTGCGGTCTGATGTGCCCTCTCCGTTTGGCCATCGGTTTAGGGGTGGCGAGCCGAACTTGGCTTGAGGGATGAGCCCCATCGTTTGATGAGCGCCAACCAAAAATCAGACATGAATCGAGTGTCGCGGCCGCAAATGATCTCCTTGGGGTAACCCTTGGTTCGAATCCAACCGGCGTAGAGAACCTCGGCCAACTCCGGTGCCTTGGCATGATAGCGGCAAGGCAAGAACATGGCAAACTTGGTGAGGCGGTCAACCACCGTGAGAATCCGATCGACGCCCGTCTTGTGCTTGGGGAACGGCCCGGTGATATCCATGGCAATCGCTTCCCTTCGGCACAAGGGGACCGACAATGGTCGCAGTTCGCCATAAGGACAATGATTGCGAGGTTTGCAACGTCGGCAAACTTCGCATGACTCGCAATAGCGCGTGACGTCGTCGAGGAGACCGGGCCACCAAAAGCGCTCGCGTAGTCGGCCAATCGTGCGATTGACTCCAAATTGTCCAGTGACGGGGGCGTCGTGGAACTCGCTAAGAAACCGGGTGAGCAAATGTGAATCTTGCGGCACACAAAGAAGATCCTTCCCTCGCGAGTGAAGAAGCAAGTATCCCTCTTGTATCTGATAGTGCGAAGGCGCCGGATTGGGAGAGGAACAGTTTGCGTACTTGTCGCGAAACTCGGGGTCAGCTTGATAGCTGCGGATGAAGCTGTCCCGCAAGTCGTCCTTGATCTCGAAGGTTGAGTAGACCGCGGTGCAGTGGTCCGGACGCCGTGCAACAGCATCCGCAAAGCGGTTCGACTTCCCCGGAATGTGGTCGGGAAAAAAGTCGAATTGGTCAATGAAGGCCATCCAACGGGCAATGGTGTTGTTGACGGTGTCTTGCGACTTGTAGAACACCAACGAATTGTTGCAATGTCCGTTACCCATCGGAACTGGCGTCGACCGAGGAGGAAGTGCCACCATCGCTTGAGTGCGTGGACGAAGGCGAGAAGTTCCTTCTTGCGTGCATCGTCGATGGAGTGCACGACCGACACTTTCTTGCTGAAATATTCGACTGGGTGCCAATCCACGCCGTCATGTTGCTCGAGGGCGACACCAATGCCATAGCCGGATGCGTCCGTGGTGACGCGCGTTGGCAATAGCGGGTCGTATATCCGCAATACCTCCGCGGAAAGCAATGCGGCCTTGAGGGCCAAGAATGATTCCCGCGCATCCATCCCGAAGTCAAACGGACGGTCCTCGCATTGAAGCTTGGTTAAGTGAGCCGCGATCTTCGAGTAGCCTTTGATGAAGCGTTGGTAGTAGACGGCAAGGCCAAGGAATGATCGGACATCCGTGGCATTCCGTGGCTCCGGCCAATCTTGGACAGCTTGAATCTTGTCCGACAACGGACTAATGCCTTGTGGAGAAACGAAGTGACCCAAGTATTCCAACTCTTGACACACGAACTCGCACTTGTCGAGGTTGGCTTTGAACTTGGCGCGCCGGAGTGTCTCCAACACTCGTCGAAGATGGTCAAGATGTTTCTCCAAGGTCCGGCTATAGACGAGGATGTCGTCCAAGTAGACCAGCATGAACCGGTCCAACATTGCTCGTAACTCGTTGGTCATCGCCACTTGAAAAGTCGCCGGGGCGTTGGTGAGTCCAAAAGGCATAACAACCCACTCGAAGTGCCCGTACCGTGTCTTGAACGCGGTCTTGCGGCCGAATCGAGATCTGATGATATCCTGACTTCATATCCAACTTAGAAAAGAATTTTGCGCCGCCCAAGCGCTCCAAAAGGTCGTCAATACGAGGAAGAGGTCCCGCGTTCTTGACGGTTTGCGCATTAAGCTTGCGGTAATCGATGCATAGGCGAAGGTCTTTGTTCTTCTTCCGAACGAAGAGAACTGGCGCACCATAGGGTGAGCTACTAGGCCGGATCCATCCTTTGTCCAACAAGTCGTCGAGCTGCACGCGGAGTACTGTAAGTTCCTCCTCGCTCATGCGGTAAATGCAACCTTTTGGCGGCACTGCACCGGCCTCGAGAATGATCTCGTGAGATATTGGCCGATCCGGCACCACGCCGGTAGGTGACTCGAAGACGTCGGCAAATTTGTCGAGCAACCGCACCACCCTGGGGTCTGAAGACAAGTCCGTGGGTGGAGAGTCGGCTACCGCGATGGTTCGAAGAAAACATAAGTCGATCTCTTCGGTCCGCTCGTAAGCACAAGTGGCCCGAAAAGACTTGGCGGTTACAACTTGGCACCGGATCGAAGGGTGCGGAGGAGGAATCGTACATGGTACTTTGGCGCCGAATGCGTCGCGAACCGTAAGCGTCCACTGCTGGAAGTTGACCGTGTGATCCGCACTTGCAAGCCAAGGCATGCCCAAAATGATGTCGAAGTCCGTGTCCAAGACCTCAAACGTCACCTGTTTGCATGCATGAGGTGCGAAATAAACCGGGACGACTTCGATGTAGCGATCAAGGAGTTGTTGCGTTCTTCGGTCCGCCAACTTAATCAACGTAGGGTGTGCCTTCCTTCGAACTTGTGGTCCAAGGCCGGCCCTTTACATGAAGGAATGGCTGATAAAGTTGCGAGTCGCGCCGCTATCAAGCAAAGCGTTGCAGGGCGCTTGCCCGATTTGGATGCGGACATAAAGGAGCGGTGCTCCGTAGGCGAAGTTGGTGGTGCATAGAAGGCTAGGTATGTATGTAAGTGAGCACGAAGAGCTGCGCATTGCGGCTCCGGTAAGCAGCCGGTCGAAGGGAGAGGAAGCCATGCAAAATCCTCGGGCGTCAACAGGTCCAAGTCCTCAATGTTGAACGCGCGCACCGAATCCCTTGAAGGTCCACTTGAAGACGAATCAATGCTGCTGCTTCCAATCGGAGAAGAGACCGCACATACATCCTGTCCTTTAGCTCGTGAATCCAGTGAAGGTACGAGCCGGGCAGCATAGTCCTCGAAAGAATGGAGAATGGGAGGACTTGCGACGTCCGCATGTGCCCCGGAACCGAGGGAGGTTACTCGCGCGGTAACCGGTTCCGAAGGCGTCGAGAGTGTTGTCGCATCACTCTCGGCGGTGCTCACTTTCCCGACTGAGCGGGGCCCTTGGCTTTCGTGGGGCAGTTCGAGGTCTCATGGGCCGCGCAATTGCACCACAAATAATAACGGTACTTGGTGCGGACGCCATACCCGCGCTCTGTCAGACCGTATGCTGTCTAAGGTCCTTGAGCTGGAGCTGCTTGCCCGGGCCCAGAAGAAGTATTGGTGTTGGTCTTCGGCTTGCCGCGTCCTTTTCTTTGGCGGGGCGGCCACCATTCTGGGCAGCTGCGAATCTGTCTCTCTCGTTAGATGAAGCAGCCTCGTTTGAAATAGAAGGGTCGCTAGTCGTTGTCGCTGCGACCACGACCACTTTCGGCCGATGCTGATGCGCGCCCTGGCCGGCGGTTTACGAGGGGCCCGTATTCCGGGCTGCCAAATTCGTCACGATGATTTGCGCGGCCTTGTTGAAGAGTTCCCCACTTGTTGTGAGGGTCTCGGCGACGTGAGTCAACGCATTCTGCAACGCTGGGCACGACCGCTTGATGAAGTAAAGCTTGATGCCGTCGTTGTTCATCGGCACTTTGGGCGTGCTTGCCAGCTGTTGAAACTCAGAAATCCAGTCTCCGCTTGGCATGTTGTTCTATGAAAACGTCAGCAGCTTGTCCATCGCCTGATGCTTGGGCGGTTCTACTTGGAAACGCTTCTTCCATGCCGCCGTGAGGTCCGCGTAGGTGATGTACTTGTGTAACTCGGTGATTGTACATGCATGTGCGGACAGCATGTTGTCCAACCATGATTGACACGAGCCTTCAAAGCGGGAGTACAGATAGGCGTGCCGGTTCTCGTTGGCGACGTGGTGGAGGTCCAGCTTGAGGTCGAACTGGCACCACCATTGTATGGGGTCCGTCTTCGATGCGTCACAGAAGACCGGGAGCCCGTCAAACTTGACAATGGTCTCACGTGGCGTCGTGCTAGAGCTGGCTGCGGTGCAGACGTGCTGTTGCGCCCCGGCCTTGAGTGTCCCCACGTCTATCTCCAAGACGATGACACAGTCGGCGTTCTCTCATTTTCTGCCACCACTTGAGGAGCTGCGTCAATCAGTTCCTCTCTGGTGAACCACCGATCTTCCTTTGGATCTGTATGATGCCTGAATCTGACGCGGTACTCCCGCTTGGGCTTAGGAGGTCTTCCTTTACCCAGTGGCTTTCGAACAGGCAGATCTCTGTGATCCACAATGTTGTCGATGTCCACTTGACCATCCATGGTTGGGGGCAGCATCGATCTCCTTGAAGAGAATTGATCTGTCTCAGCGAAAGGTGCAAGCTTTGAGGCATGAAAGACAGGGTGAGTGCGTAAGTGACCAGGGATACAGATAACATAAGTAGGTCCATCCATCTCATCCCCAACTTTATCCAAGACTTCCCATGGACCAAAATAATGAGGCATTAGTTTACGAGAGATTCCGAATTTCTGTCCTAGCTCACTAGCCTTGACCCAGACACGTTCCCCTACCTGAAATGAGGACTGTCGACGATGTTTGTTCGCAGAAGCAATCATTGCTTGCTGAGCTTTCTTGATGTGCTCGACAGCTTGCTGCAGCAACTTCTCATACTGCACACCATACTCAAGTGTGCCTGAAGTTGTTGAGGGTCGGTTCTCAGGTAGGAGGAAGTCCAGAGTTGATCTAGGTTTCCATCCCAAGTGCAGTTGATTAGGACTAAGGCCTGTACTGCTGTGTATAGCGTTGTTGTACAGGCTGGCGATGAGAGGCAACTTCTCATCCCAGTCATCCTGACTGGGCTTGATGTAATGCCTCAGCAGGTGTTGTACAACTCTGTTCATTTGCTCGGCCTGTCCGTTGGCTTTGGCATGATTCCCTGAAGTCATCTGAAGTTGACTCCCCATCTGTTCAGCAGTCTTCTTCCACAGCTCACTTGTGAAGCGGACATCTCTGTCACTAACGATTGACTTTGGTAGTCCAAAATCACGCACCCAGTTGTCCTGAAACAACTTGATGACGTGTTCAGTCCTTGCGGTCTCTGGCATGGCAATTAGTCTAGCGTATTTGGTGAATCGGTCAATAATGAGAAAGATATGCCTCTTGCCACTCTTACTTGTTACCAGGGTGTCCATGAAATCCATGGAAACACTCTCTCTTGGACCAGCTCGAATAGGTAAGGGCTTCAGTAACCCAAGCCACCAGACAGGTCTCTTCATACTTCCTTGCATCATCTAATGCTTGAGTTCGCGGCTTGTCCTGCTGACAGACCTGACATGTCTCTTCATACTTCTTTGCGTCATCTAGCATTCCAGGCCACCAAAATCGCTGTACTAGATTGACACTCGTCTTTTTGTAGCCAAAGTGTCCGGTTGCGTCATGACATTCTCCTAGAAATAAACTACGCAAACGTTCACTAGATGGAACAACTAACCTTTTACATCCGGCCTTATCAAGAAGGAGAAGTCCGTCCACCATCACAAACTCATCTTTTGTGGCCTTGTCTTTTGCCTGAAGCTTGCGTATGATGTCAATTGTGACAGGGTCTTCCTGATAGGCTCCCACCAACGATTGAGTTAGTTCCTCAGATACACCAAACTCAGAAACTAGTGCCCCTAGGTAGTCTGCTCTACGTTACAGCGCATCTGCAACCTTGTTGTACTCTCCCTTCAGATACTCTAGCTTGAAGTCATACGAATCTATGACCTCAATCCATCGCTTGAGTGCATCAGAGAGAGCCGGTTGTGTCTTGATTCATTTGAGGGTCTGGTGGTCAGTTCTCAAATAAAAGAACCTTCCCAATAGAAAGTGCCTCCAATGGATTAGTGTTTGTATAGAGCATAGAGTTCCCTTTTATAGATGGACTTTGTCAGTTTCCTTGATGGCATTTTCTTACTCATGTACTCAATCGGCCTCAACTTCTTCCCATCCTGTTGAGCCAGCACTGCGCCAATGTCGTATTGGCTTGCGTCAGTGGTCACTATGAATGGCTTCTGAGGATCGGGCACCATGAGAACCTCATGATTCATGACTGCATGCTTCAATTGTTTGAAAGCAGCCTCGCACTCATCACTCCAGTCCCACGGCGTGTCAAGTCGAGTTAGATCAGTCAAAGGAGAGGTGACAGTGGAATAAATTTTCAAAAAGTTTCTATAGTAGCCGCACATTCCTTAGAAAGATCCGACCTTAGTAACAGTCTGAGGTCGTGGCCAATCCCTTATACTAGCCACCTTCGCATCTTCCGGCCTAATACCTTCCGCGGATACTTCATGACCCAAGTATAAGATCTTAGTACATCCAAACTCACACTTCTCAAGATTGACCTTATACTTGTGCTGTCGCAAGAGTGAAAGTACAGTCTCAACGTGTTGTGCATGCTCTTCGACAGACTTAGTAAAGATAAGAATATCGTCTAAGTAGACAACGACAAACTTATCTAAGTGGTCATGGAAGATCCTACTGGCTTTGAACTTAGTCAGTCTAACTGTTCTTCCATCAGGCAACTTATGCTTTAGCACCTTCTTGTCCCAGTCAAACTGGGGTTTGGCAACCTCAAGGTACTACATTCCTAACAGCATATCAAACGGTAAGTCGTCGTTAACCAGGAACTAAATTTTGTGATTAAGTTCCCCTCCTTCATAGGAAAAGGTGCAGACTACATCTTTAATATAGTCTGTGACAATCATGCGCTCCTTATTGGCCAAAGTAGATACTACGGATCTACTACGGTGCTGTACCCGATCCTGTAGGTGCAGCCTTTCCAAGCAGCCGCGGCTTATGTAGTTCCGTGTGGAGCCGATGTCTATGAAGGCACCAAATTTGCGGCCTCCTACATCGACTTCCACAACGAAATGTTCCCCTCTAGGACCTTTCCTTAGTGCCACCCAACGAGGGTCCTTACTTGATCACTCACTTTCCAAATCTTCTAAGGCTTCAGACACATCCAACCGATTCCAACGTACAGAGCATGGTCTGGTCTAGATGAGTCTGCAGGGTGACTAAAGAATCATTAGCTATGGCCTGCTCATGAAGTGGGGAGGGTATCTGGCCCACTTCACCTTGAGTAGAAGTAGCTAAAACTTTCACCGGCCTTACGTGTTTCCCGAGCTAGAAGCCTGGGAAGAAGGTGCCCCCATCTTAGGAGGTATCTTCTGCGTGACCTTTGCGTTCCTGCACTTATACTGGTGTGTCCGTATTCACCACAGTTAATGCAAGCGCCACACACTCGACGGTCCTGCCCCACTTCTTGATCAAGACCTTCCTTGACCTAATCATCAACTTTGGTCTGATTGGAGGCGGCCTGCCCTTCATTCTTTTGATGGCCCTTTCCTCGGCCACCGACCTTAGTCTTTACAACTCCGGCGAGGGTGCTATCCTCAACGATTTCCTTGCCGTCGTACTCTGAATAGTTCAACAGGTCTGTGAACTCTTCGATCTCAGTTTGAGTCCCATCGGACTCAACCATCATCAATTTGTTCCCCTTCTTCTTCCATTCTTGTGGACTCTTCTTCTTCCTCGCATCAACTGAAGTAGGTTGAACACTTCATAGAGTGGCCTATAAATCTAAGGTTTTTCTAGATAAGGTCTCAAATGAGTGATACTCGAGGCAAGCCTTGCTGGCCAGCAAATTTCTGAGATTCTATGGGAGACTGGGAGACATCTCACAAACGTGGTCAATAAGAAATGGTCATCGTAGTTTATGCCAGGAACGACGATGAGGCTCTCTACGATAGTCGTAAGCTCTCTGACTGACTTGAACTTTCTTTGGTCTAGTCTGTGCATCGCATCAGTGGCAATTTGTGCCTGCTGTGGATTGTGCCAACGAGCTTCTACCATTTCTAAGAACTGGTCTAATGTAATAGTCTTAGCCCTGTCCGCCATGCGTCGTCCGTACCCGGCCTTTGCGACTAAACCATCCAGGCATTTGGCTGCCTTACCCTCAAGGTAAGATGCAGCAGTTATCACCTCGTCCTCCTGCAAAGTCCTCTTCGCCTTTACCCATACTCGACCCGTTCTCAACAATGTGTTGAGTTCCTCATTCTTCTTCTCTCTAGAGAAAGCAAGGGGCGGTTTCATAGGGGTCTTTGGATACCATTGACCTTGCTGCTGTCCTTGTTGAGGAATAGGTTGTTGCGGTGATGGTGTAGCAACCACCGCTGACCCAGAAGAAGAAGAAGCAATTGTTTGTGCGGCTGCTGCAGACGTACCACTTGGTTGTGTGTCAGCTTGTAGCGGGAAGGGGGCTAACATCGTCGTTAACGACAACGGCGACTGTGCTGCTGGCCGGAATCCTGACCTTTGCAAAAGGTCCAAGATCTGCTCTAAAGAGTTATGCATGAAGTCTAACATGTTGTCCACATGCGCATGCAGCGACGGCATGATGTTCTTCAATATTTTCACTTGGTCAGTCATGGTTGACTCATCCAAACCCTCTAATGCAGCTTCGTCGGCCTCTAACGTATCAAGCCTGGTTGTTCTATTCTTGATCTTTCTTTCTCTATCAGTTGCTTGCTTCAGTTCCTTCTCTAACCGCTCGCGGATCCTTTCGACCTGTTGGAGCTCTAGGAGCTCCCTACCGCGTGGGGTCAACGGGCTTAACAGCGAGCCCGCCATTTGACTTATGGACTGTCCAGCACCTATTGATCCGGAAGTACCCGCGGGCCCTGAGGGCATTCCCAACAGGGTCCCAGACGAGGACGCAGCAGAGGACGCAGTAGATGCTACGCCATTAGCTATTGTTAATGCTCTGACTGCTGCTGCCTACTCTCTAGCTGCTGCGTTTGCTGTTGTCAACGCCTGACTTGCAGCTAATGCTGTTTCCTGGGCTGCTACTAGAGCACGGGCTCTGCGTTTGGCACGAAGCCGTCTTTCGTCTTCCGGTTGTAAGGATTGGAACACATGCGGGACCCTAAGTGCCTCCGAACGTGTAAGTCTCACGTCGTCAACTCTACCCTCTTCGGTGTCAGACCCGCTCATTAGTTAGGCAAACACTATCTGCACTACAACTCCCTGTTGGAGTCCTACCACAGCATGTGTCTGACCGACACCTAATTTTCTAAAAATAAATGTGTCCGGCAGGTACCTTACTTGACCGATCAAGTGGCAGCCTACAACATTCACAAAAGATTGTCCACATAGTTTAGTCTTGTCATGATTAGTTCACTTACAGAAGTTTGCATAGGACTGGCTATGGTAGTATACAACAGTCCTAATACTAAACTGTCTGTGAGGTATTAGCAGTCTGTCACCCAACTAATCAAGAACAAAACCAGACTATGTTGCAGATGTATGAACAGTGGGTATAGTTGTGTCTACAGTTGAGCACCAATTAGCACCTACCCGCCCCTCAATCCAACATACCGAAAAGCATCTTTGAGCAGCACTGTCTTCATGTGTTGTGTCGGCCCACCCCTCTGCCCCAAGTCATTGCCGAGCAAGCCAGCCCATCCACTCTCATTTACCCTCGTACGGAACGAGCCTTACTACCCGGTGTGATCTGGCTGATCAGGAGGGATTTAAGGATAGCCCCCATCTCCGCAGGAATTATTTAACGTCGCAGACAGGACGACGATCACAGCCAGTATCAACACCGAGTCCCCAATCAGAAGTATTTATAGACGGTTTGGTAAGCGTCTCTTATGGGCTGGCACACCCGGCATGACTTCTACAGCGCAGCAGTGCCAAAATGGACAAGCAGCCATCGCATGCGTGACCTACTCCCATTGGGTTGGCATGGTGACCGTGACCCAGTGCTTCGACCAGGACCCTTTAGAGGCACCGCCCTTTCTCCTTCCAGATGCTTCCGGGAAGATTGTCGTCTCTCAAGGTAGCGCGCACATGACACCTCACCAAATAAGAGGACTCTCAAGTTGGACTCACTTCCTCGCGGTAAGAAGAGATTGAGAGAGTAGATAAGGTAAGGGAACAACGTACCTCGAGATAGCTGCCCCCAACCACAGATTTCTAACCAATTGAGCTGAGTGTGCATTTGATGACCGGTCGTAGCCTCGGTACCACTCACAATGCAATGCAGTACCACCTCAGCTTAATGCCACATCAGCATGCTCTCATCACCAATCATACATTCCGCTGTAACCACGACACCCAATGTCGTATAACCTTTCGGCGCACACCTCTCTACCCAGGTCGTGCGCCTAATGTTGGCCTGACGTCACAAGATCCGTTGCATGCTGAGCCTGCATACGGGCCCCATTTGAAGGGCCCGACGGTTGCTGAAGGGCCCCCAGGCCGCGTACTATCGAGCACGCGCCCTGAAGGCCCACGGCAGCCCTCGAGGCCTAGGCAGCACGTAGGTAGGTAGGGTTTGGTTTACTTACCCCTTTTTCTGTGTGTGTGTTGTCTTATTTATGTCTATTCAGGTGCCGTTGCGGACTTGCAGCCCCAAGGCCGGGCCTTGGGACCAGGTACACCGGAGGCAGGCCCGAAACGAGGCCAGGCGCATTTTGGCGCCAACCCGGCGTCGTTTCGGTCCTGCAGGACCCAAGACAGCACCTTGGGCCAGGTGCACCGGTAGATGGCCATTTTTAGGGCAGGCGCATTTGTGTGCCACGCTGCAGCAGCAGCTAGGTCTGGACGTCCGGTAGGGACCCAGACCACCTGGACCGTTTTAGGCCACACAGTACGAGGTAGGCCCAGCGGCCCAGCACTACATATAGTCGGGCCGAAGCTGGGCAAGAACAGTTGGAGTCGCCCATTTCTGAGCGACACACAGCTGGTTGGAGGCTGCGCTATGCTGCGCTAGGTAGAGGAGTAGGGAGTAGTGATTAGTGGAAATAGGAGAGGGCGGAGGCCATACCTGCAGTCGGCGAGCTTACTTGGCGCCATAAGCGGGCTCCACGTGGTACCTGCACACGGCAACGGATGAAGTCAGTTCGAGTGACAGCTACCGGCAGGTGAGATAGCGAGGAGGGATTCCTCTTCTCTCCCTCCTCTCTCTCTCTCTCTCTCTCTCTCTCTCTCTCTCTCTCTCTCTCTCTCTCTCTCTCTCTCTCTCTTCTCCCTCCTTCCTCCTCTTTCTCATCTTCTTCTCCTTCGAATCKGAGAGTGTGAGAGGTTATCCGTAGGGATTCAGGCTGGGGTTGTAACGGGCGCACTACCCAGGATCTGATTCGACATTTCTGAGACAGACATTGTTTGGACATTCGGCAAGAGACTATTTTGGACTTCGTCATTACGATTTTGGTCTACTCTCTCGCCTTCCCCCTCTTTCATTTGCCCCTCCCCCATCTCTCATCCGTGGTTTCTCCCCATGTGTGTGTATGAAGGAGGGACCTTCCTTCCATGATTGCGGTCCCTCCTCTGTCACCCATGTGTGATGTGTGATGGATGTCAGGTTAGTCCACGTCAGATCAGATCTTCTCTTTGAAGTCTTCCGCTGTGCCATTTGCGCCATCTTGTATGTATCGGATGTACATTGCTTGTGGATGCTGCGCTGATCTAGCATTGTCCATCTCAGTCCGTTTCATCACATTGCGGGTCCTTGGTATACTGCGCACTGCTCCCCAGGGCATGCGTTAGTTTTGGTATCGGAGCTGCAGTATGTGAATCAGGACGAAGTTCAAACTGATCTGACGCACGCGCGGGGACCACCCAAAATCGATTGGGTGAGTATCGATTGATTGATCAATCGATCCTGGATCGATTAGTTGATCTCGAATTGATTGATTGATTGATTGACTGAGTATTGATTGATTGATTGATTGATTGATTGATTGATTGATTGATTGATTGATTGATTGATTAGGCTATACTAATTAGTCCCCAAATCGCGAAACTTTGACCCAACTGCCGAAATTAAAATTCTTTTTCTGTTTTGGATTCGTTTTCCCGCTATTTCTTCCTTTAAACAATAGCGGAGCATCTGAAGGTTCGTTTTTCTTTCCTGAAAGCCGAAACTTCGTTGCTGGAGGTCCGAAACATTGCGATTTCCCATTATTTATTCCGCGAATTGTTTTTGGAGTCCGACATTTCGATTTATTTATTTTTTATTTTTTTTTGTGAAATTCGAAATTTCGCGACAGAGAAGTCCAATTTTTTTTTTCTTTCGAAAAGTTTCGATTTTATCCCGTTATGAAAGATTCCCGTTATTCCGAAATCTTTTTAAATTCGTTTTGCAAATTTCGAAAATCTTTTTGAACTTTGTTTTTCAATTCGGAAAATCTTTTTTGAAATTCGTTTTTCACTTCTTGAAATTCGTTTTTCACTTTCTGAAATTCGTTTTTCACTTTCTGAAATTCGTTTTTCACTTTCTGCAACTCGTTTTCATTTCCGAAATTATTTCTGAATTCGTTTTTCAACTTCAAAAAAATTCTGAAATTTCGATTTTCAATTTCGAAAATTATTTTTGAAATTCGTTTTTTACTTCGAAATTACTTCTGAAATTCGAAATCATTTCTGGAATTCGTTTTTTTCACTTCCGAAATTATTTCTGAAATTCAAAATTTTTCTGAAACTCGTTTTTCAACTTCGAAAATTTTCTGAAAAATTGTGAAAATTTGATTTTCAATTTCGAAAATTATTTCTGAAATTCGTTTTTCAAATTCCGAATTATTTCTGAAATTCGTTTTCAACTTCGAAATTTTTTGGAATTTGTTTTTCAATTCCGAAAATTCCTGAAATTCGTTTTTCAATTTCGAAATTCCTTATTTTTTGGAAATTATTCTTCATATTTCAGACATTGCTGTCCGGGAAACTCCTCTCACCAATGCTTGTTTTCAAACTTCGTATACTCTCACTTAACATATTCCAAATTTTTTTGGGAATTTTCTGGGCATGTGGAATCATATTTTTTTCGCAAGTTCAGCGTTTCCGTTATCTCCATTTGACACTTTGATTCATTGGCAGCCTAAATTCCGAATTTTTTTTCTTTCAAATTGACTGCTGAGGAGATACTTGGGGGGCCTACTGAGCTTACACATCCGAATTTTTTTTCCATGTCCTGCAAGTTCCAATTTTTTTCTTGATTAGTGGCTCCATATCTGGGCGACCCATCTTGATTGCCCATCCCCTTTCTCTCCACCCCAACCCTTCGTCCCTTCTTCGTCCTCCTTACCTGCCCATTCACCTGCAGTTGCAGCCCAGGTAAGTCCTCATTTCAGCAGGCCACGTAAGGGACCCGCCGCGCATGACCATACTTACTCGCTCGCAGACAGCAGCGATGGATCAGAAGGCAGGCGAGACTGACGAGGCCTACGAGGCACGATTGGCGGCCCTCATAGCCGAAGGCAAGCAACGGGCAGACGCTGCGGTAGCAGCACGGAAGAAGAAAGAAGCAGAGGCAGAGAAACAACGTGTTCTGGCGGAAGAACAGCGGCAGAAGCACGCGGCAGCAGCAGCCAAGGCCGCTGATGAAGAATGCGTACGGCGACGCGAGATCATATTCAGGGAGGAAAGTGCATTACACACACAGGCCAAGGATTGGGAGAAGGAGGCCGAGAACGACGATCCCGTTGACGTCGGGAGCAGAGTATCTCAGCTGCTCAATCGTGTCACGGAGGGAAGGCAACTGCGAAGTAAGCATCTCAGCGGACTTTCGAAGCTAAGGGGATGGAATGTGAGGATTGAGCCCTCAAGAAGGGGCCTTGCCATGATGTACATGTTCTGGGCTAAGGCCCCCAACAAGCCTCGTGCCCGCCCTAGGTGAAGGCGGGCCAGCAAATCAACAAGAGCCCTCTGT